TGTCTTAAGGACATCATTTACAATATCCACGTAGGCTTTATATCACCTGCAATTAGTAATTATATAAATGTTATTGAAGAGAAGGTTGCTGTTGTCTTCAAAAGAGAGAAGAAGCTGAAATATTGGTCTGATGCTTAGCTAGATGTTGGAATTCCTTGTGTTTAAATTCTCTAGTAATAGACCTTGGTAAAGAAAACCTAAAATCAAAATCAAACATTATTACATCTAAGTCCATTTAAAAATATCCTTAAAATATTGAGCCTACTATGGTTGTTATTTGTATTCATTTTTCAGTGTGGTAATGACACATGATATAGAATTAAATAAAAGGCCACTGGAATAATATGCATTAACAAAGAATTTCATTCCTTTTTTCTTTCTTCCATCATTCCAAAAAGCCAAGTATAATTTTGAAACTGAAGATAGCAGCAACAAGTAAAGAATTGTACAAAGTAGATGACAATTATCTAATATCATTGGGTCTAATTTCCAGCTTGAACAATGAAGATTTGAGAGATTATTCTATACATTTTACCACAGTTAAGTGAATTTCCATATAAGACTTTTCTCTTCTTTAAGAAAATGAAACTATGTTTTTCATTGGAAAAAAAACAAGCAGCAAAAAAGGGATATAAATACCAAGGCTAGAACTAAGCCAGTCCAGATACAGAACCAGACAATTCAATATCCCTGTAAGCAGACCCAGGAATTACACATAAGCCAGAAAAACATATTATTCTAAGGACATTCTTATTGCCTTTTGCAACAGAGATTTTCCAAGGAAAATTAAATGTTCAGCCCATAAGAAAAAGCTAATCAGCCAAGACATTTTCTCATTTTTACCATGCATTAACGTTCTGCCAGTTTCTCAGACTGCTTGAAATTATTGCTGACTTTTTCCTCACCTGCATTCTTTCTCAATCATATTACTAAAAAATTACTATATTTTATTCTCTTTTCCAAAATCACTCACTATCATAAAATGGTCAAATTCACCTCTTCCTCTTCATTAAAATAACAGGTATTACATATTTAGTGATTACAATATGCAATGCCGCAGTCAGGCTGGGCAAATAACCGGGAGGTGACAAGCAACTTGAAGGTTGAAGCGGGAACTGCTTTATTGTGGGGGAAACTCAGCGGGAACTGAGCAGGAACACAAGGTAGCGGGCACCCTAGGTAGCAGGAGCCGCTTTATTGTGGAGCAGCAGAGGTATCCTAACTGATTACACACAGCTTGACTCAATTAGCATCATCCAGATACAGCAATCAGCCAATAAGGAATCTCTACCATCTTAATGGCTCAGTGGAGTTGCCTCACAAACCACTCCTCCTGGCAAACTGCCAGGCGCCATCTTAACTTGATTTGCAATCCCCAATCATGCAAAGTGATTGTCACAAATATTTTTATATATTAACTCATTTGATCCTCAACAAAAATTTGACATCTGATAAATAAGATAATATTATCCACCTCATTTTACTAAAAAAAAAAAAAAAGTCCTACAAAAGTCACTTGCTCAATGTTCTAGGCTAACACTTTGGATTGGGAATTCAGGCCAGGAAGCTTAATCTCTATGATTTGGAAGTCATTCAATACTCTCCTGCATTGACCCCATCATATGTGCCAACCACATCTCCCAATGATTATTAAGGCGAACCTTCACATCTTCTCTTCATTGGTCTCTAGAACTGACTAGTTTCCAGAAATTCTGAATTCCCAATCCTCTCCAATTATTTGAATGTTCCTCATCCTTTAGAACTAGGACATGTCCCCTGATTGTTCCTGGCCACTTTAATCTTTTCTAAATTCAATAATTCATCATTATCATCACCAACCTAGCATGCTAGTTAGGACTTTGTATAAGACAAAGTGGATTTGAATTTTATCTATGTAACTTAACAACCACGTAACTCTGGGTAAAATTATACAAATGTGTTCAAACTTATTTTGTATAGGCATAAATGGGATTGTAATAATGTATTCCTTACAAAGTTTGTTGATAGAAATGAGACATTGTAATTAAAAAGCTCATAATGATGAACAGACATCCAGTAATAGTCAATAAATTGTAACTATTATCATCCTCATCTACTAATATATTTCTTTAAAAACTTGTTAGTCAAATATTGACAGTTTATCCCAATTCCCAAACCAATGTTCAATTCAGCTTTCAATAGAAAAAAAAAATTTCATTTTTCATTCTGTTGGTGATTTCTGTAGTTCCTAAACCAATGGTGAGAACTGAGAGACCCAGAAAACATGCTAAGTGTATCACTGATTAAAACACTGAGGGCATAGATACAAGGGAACAATGCTAAACAAGTGGGAAGAATTCCATGTAGAAACTTTCATTCACTTAATAAATAAATGAAATTAACTATTTGAAGATCATCTACTTTCAAGTCTTTAAGGTAGACCTAGAAAAAAAGTGCCATGAACAATCCAGTTGCCAGTCAGAAAATGAAAAGGAATAAAGAATGCTCTTAAATGATACAAAAGAGAGTCAGACCTGCATTGACTAATTAAAATACACCTTTGTGTGCTGAGTGGTTTCTATGATGGATAAAATATCATGATTAGGAATGTTGGCTTCCCTGGACTTCCACAGGAAAGATGGCTTAATGTGGTACGTCAGATGAAGCATCCTCCAGAAGCATATAGGTGCTTTTGCTTGAGGTGGGGCTCCGTGGGCTAAGGGGACTTCAAATTTGTACTGAACCTTATGGAAGGAGCATTTTCTTTATTGTTAAGCAGGTAGCCAATGGAAAAGTGTTATAAAGAAATTATTGCTATATATGATAACATTCCCCAGGCCTATTAATATTTTAGCACAAGCTGGGCATGGTGGTGCGCACATGTGATCCCAGCGGCTCAGGAGCCTAAGGCAGGAGGAGGCCAGCCTCAGCAATTAGCAAATCCCTGTCTCAAAATAAAAGATTAAAAATGGGCTGGGGATGTGGCTCAGTGGTTAAGTCCCCCTGGGTTGAATCCCTAGTACCAAAAAAGAAAAAAAAAAAAAAGATTAGCACAGAAATTCCCCAAATCCCTACCACTTTCCCTCGTAAAATCCAACTTTAAAAAAAAAAAAAAGCCTATTTTTCTAATACTTTATTTACTTCTCTACATTTAAATCTCTAAATATCCTCAGAAAAACTTCAGTGAATTTGCACTAACTTTTTCGGAAAAACCTTGGCAAGAGTTACATCTTTTTATAGTATTAACAGGCTGAAATACCTGTACAGTTTTCAAAATAAATATTCTGAAAAATGTATTTTGCTTATAATCAGATTCTAAGCTTTATAGTTTTGTTTTTATGTAGGAATTATAATGCCGTTAGAGAAATTGAGTAATATTTCTTAATTTTAAGTTTGGGAGATGCTTAATTTAAAAAATGGCAGCCTCATATGTCTCCAAAAACAAGATTTTTCTTCTTGTTGCTAAAAGCTTATGTTGTTATTAAAAAACTTAATTTTCAAAATATTTCCAGAACCTCTGCCTGGTGTATATATGTCCATTAAACACAATAAAGATAGAACAAAGGCAAGAGAGAGAAGTTGAAAAGAAGACAAAATCAGTGAAAAATCCCAAGTAAGGGCACTGACACACTTGGAGGGCAATTTTGGAGCATATACCCCTAGGAAGTGAAATAAAGGAAACAAAAGTAGCACCAGAATCACTAACCTGGATTCCTCCCTGTCCTAATGCTGGTTCCTTCCTTCTGCATCCCCTACTTGGAACTAATAACTGTGTGTTCTGAAATCAACTACTTGAATTATGAATGGATCATATTTAAGAATCAACTCCTTTCAAATAAAAAACCTTTTACAGCTATATTTGGTTAGGGGGAAAGAAATTAGCATACATTTCCTCGTTAGTCTGAGTGGCCTAACCGGTATAAATCCCTATAGGTTATTTGGAATGGCTTTAGTTTATACACCATGGATTTTTCTAACTATTTAATAACATGTTCAGAGTGAAGATTGTTAGTATTAATCACAAGAAACTGAACTATAGCCCCTAGGAGAACAGCTAGGGGCTTTCCTCTTTGCTTCTGGGTATGCATCAGCCCTAGGCACAGACTTAGACATTTATGATTTGGGCTATGCAAAAGTAAATAATGGAAAAGTGTGCTGTTGGTTGGTTCCCATCAAGACTGGGGGGAGACAAACTATAAACAATTAGAAAGAAGCCAGATGCTTAAGGAGGCTGATAGAATAAATAACTTTCCAATTATTCTCAAGAAAACTCTTTAAAAATAGAGTATTAAGAAAAAAGGGGGGGGGCAAGGTTGTGCTTTCAATAAGACAACTTTTTAGTCAGTGAAATGAAATATTCAAATCTGAAGAGCACATTTCTCATAATATTGTTTTTTTCCCCTTTGTAATGACTTTTGGTCTTTTGTCTCATCTACTAAACACTTATGTCCATTTCATGCAAGGCACTTGATACTATAGTATCAGAAATACCTGTACAGTTTACAGAGATAAATGTAGTTTACGAGGGGAAAATAAGTCCTCAGTTCTTAGCTCCTCCTGGCTAAAGTGATTTGGAGTCCCTGATGGAGACCCAGGCTCCAGGAATTTGGAAGCTGGACTGAAGATACTTTCTGCAGCTGTTGGGATTCTGATAAGGAGTTCTGGTGTTTTTACTCTTTGTGGAAAGGTTTCTTTGTCCTGATCACCCAGCTAGAATAGTTGTTTCACAGAAAAAAAAAAAAAAATTACCTCAAAACCTTAATAATGAACTCTATGCCCCCAAAGGAGGTGGAGAACATACATTTTGCTTCTACCAGGTCAAATTTAATAGAGAATATTTTCTTAAACTTCAGTATCTTGAAATGCTTCTCATTTGAAAGATACAGAATATTTTATATATGCTCATCACTGAAATATTTGTACCCAGTTAATCCATGGATGTGGTCTGGTCTTCATTGCATTTTCTTTACATGTTCTGTAACTTTTCACTATTAAATTAGACATATAAAAAAAAATCTCACCTCGGTAGCAACATCTCCAGTTTTTCCACGGTGAGGAATTTCGTATGCCTCTATTTGTTGCTTGGTGAGTCTTACTAACTTTTCAGCAAGTTCCCTCCAGCCTTTTCCAAGTTTGACAGCTGAAGTCAGAATAACAGCTTCTTGGAGAAGATGCACTACCAACCCTTGACAGTCGATCTTTAGCAGAGCCTGCAGCAGCAATTATATATCATAATTAAAAACAACTCATTTTGATTTTTTCCTTTCAATTAAAATTTTTATTACTTATTCTAGAAATTGGAGTCCTTCTTTTCACCACACATATAACTAAGTTTTCTGAAATCTAAATATTTGATTTACTGTTACGCAAATTCAACACACATACTTAGCATGTGTGAGGTTCTGAGTTCAATCTCCAGCACTCTTCCTCCCACAAGAGTCTAAAATTTCCCAGAATCATGCCTATTGCATATGAATCAGGTACTCCGGCTTGGAACGAAGCTAATGACATTTATAAATTTTAAAAATAACCAAATACCTCCCTCCAGTAATGTAATTGTGTTAAATATAAACCATAAGGTATTAAAGATAAAACACAGTCTTCTACATGCAAAATGGAAAACCACCACTCTTTCTTCCTTTTGAGGCATCTGAATTTTTTCACTCACCATGTATGTTTCAAACAATTCTGTAAGTTGCTGTTCTGCTTTGAATACACTTTTAAAAATGTGATTATATCTATGTATTCTCTTATCTGGTCAAATAAGCAAAAAAGAAAAGCAACAACAACAAAAACGTATTTAGCAGCTTCTCATTACTTAGTGGCACTTGGAACCTTTATCTACAAACACAGAACAATAAGTACAAATGAATGACCAAATTAGGTAACTACTGAAGTTGCAAAGTGTGTTTATTCTCATGTAAATATACACAGAGAAGGGCTGCCAGTGGTTTTATACAGAGACTAGACTAAGCCATGCATTTCTACTGAGAAATTACAGCCTCAGTGAGAAGCAATCCAAGTCAGCAGGACCCTGAAGGACTTTTAGTAATGTGGAATGGCTTTATCGCTCCACAGTCCAGTTGTTGTTATTTGTTTTTCTAGCAAAAAGAATCTTTTTGCTTGAAGTCATAAAACCTGAGTTTAAAATCTGTCTCCACAAACTATAAGACTTCAAATGAATTATTCAATAGAATTTTCTATATAGCCATAGAAAATTTTCTATGTAGCCATAGAAAATAATGATTTAAAAATCGATATAGTGCTAATACCACTGTCCAATGATTAATAAATATGAAGATTAAATCAGATGCTGAAGGACTTCACAGAGTGTCAAGTATATAAGGACAGCCACCCTTTAATTTCCTAGTTTGGCCAGTTCTTCAAATTTATATACAGTCCAAGGGGGAAAAATAAAAGTGTGTTCATTGTACAAAGAAAGATTGAAGAGACAAGAATGTACCCCCACTTCACACTCAATCACTTTCCTGTGAGATGGCCTAGCTTATGCCTTCCATTCAGGAGTCTTGAATCCTGCATAGGCACTATAGGAGTTTAAGGGCTCCCTTGGGACCTACTTTTATGAATGGGTTCTCCACCAGAATTTTCTATGTAGCCATTCAAAGTACTGTATTAATTATCATACTCCCAAAATGCCCAGGTATGAGTAGGCTTAAATTTTTAGGTCATTGGGCCAATATGACTAAGAGTTCCACTGAAGAAAAAGAGAGCAATTTCAATTCAAACTTGTCAATACATACTGAATGTGAGCTCTGAGAGGTAACATGCTATTGCAAAATGCACATGAGCTTCCACCAGGCAGCATGGCCTCTAACATTCAGTCTCCAAAGGCCCAGATTATGTGAGATTGCAGCATATCATAATAAAACTATTCACTTACAAATGAATAGTGGGCCTTTTAAACTTTAACTACTCTTGGTATCATTTTAGAACCGTCAAAAATATTGAAGGGGAGGAAAAGTTTTTTTTTTAATATTTATTCCTTTAATATATAAATTATTGTTAATGTCACACACTAAATTTCTTCTCTAATTATTTTTACTCATTTTTAAAAATTATTTTTAATTGTAGTTGGACATAATACATTTATTTTATTTATTTTTATGTGGTGCTGAGGCTTGGACCCAGGGTATAGCATATGCTAGATGAGCACTCTACCGCTGAGCCACAACCCCAGTCCCCCTTTTTTCTTCCTTTTATACTTTAAAACTTTACTCCTCTGTTATGAACCCACTTGGATAATTTCACTCATCTCCTATAGGGCACCATTTTTCATTGTTATGTGTAATGTCATTGTTGTTGTTATTTGTTTAGTACACACTCCAACACATGTACCTATACAAACCTTTTTTTTCTACACACAAACACACATATAGCTTTGTTTCAAGAGGGTATTAGCTATCATCATTATTGTTTAAAAAATAAATAGTTCAATAATTTTTAGAAATATGGTCTTGATATTTTAACAAAATATTGAATTTCTACTTCAAAGACAAAACAATTCTTTATAACTCTCCCCTGAGCCTTCCACTGGGATGAATACCATGCAGAAAAATGTTGATCCTGAGACTCCTATTCAAATAGGATTTAGAATCACCAATATCATTGCTTGGGTTATAATGTATTGCACGAAGAAGAAAAAAATGCTAAAGTAAAGGACATTGATTAAATGTTTGAAAAAAGAAAAACACTGAAAAGTAGACCTCTAGCAATGGCCAGGTTAGTTTTGTTTAAGTTTGCTTTCACATTATGGAGCCATTCTGATATTTTAGGGCTATCTAAATATTTGAGAGAGGAAGAGAAGAAAATGTCTTATAAGTTTTAGGCCCAGCACAAACAGAACCTTTAATCTCCCTTTAAAAGATAATCTTTGGGGCCTTATTTTCTGAGAAAAAATCACAATTGAATCTCAAATCTAAAAAACCCAATTGTATGATCCTTTAGGATAGGTTCTATATTTGTTATGAAGTGACTTCGACTTATGTGAAGCTGTCTTTTTAAAAATATATATATTTCCCCTCTCACATGTTTGGTTAAAAGTTAATAAAATTTTCTGTGGTAAATAAATTACTATGATCAAGCAATACTCACCACAATAAGTTCATAAAGAAACTTCCTTGTATTTCTGTCTCCATGGCAATCTTCCTTTAGCTTCTTGACAACATAAGAAACCTTTTCTGATTCTTTGTCTGCTTGCATTTGATCAAAGTTTTCCAGTGCCAGATGAGAGTACCCCAGGACACCGGCTAAAACTTTCCAGTCATAAACTTTTTCTAACACCAAGGTCAATACAACTGAATATATATAAGTCAGTTTTTTAAAGGGCAGGGCAATTTGCTCAAGAAGATTCCTGGTTGTAAAGATACTGTCAGACACAGACATGACTTGTTCTTTTGAAATCACCTTGACATTTTTGCAGTGCACAAGTCCAATCTTCCCTCTGAGGACTCCCACATACCATTCCTTCACTTTAGACTGCCCCATGGCCTTTACCTTACCTTCCCCAAGAAGAGCTATCGTGTCCCCTTTGAAATATTCCAGAAAGTAGTCAATCTTGTTTTGTCTGAGCACTGTCTTCAGGGTTACCCCATAGTTGGTAAAGTTCAATTTTTTATCTTGGAATGTGGGATATTTAACAAGCACTGATGAGAATAAAGGCGTGGACTTTTCCTCTTTCTCCTTGTGCAGATTTGAGAGCCTTTTTAGGTTGGGAGCCGGATCAGGTGAAGTGATAAAGAACTGTGCAACTGGTCTACCATTAGGAGGCTCCACCTGAACACGGAAAACAAACAAGTGCATCTCTCTGCAGTCCACTAAAGAAAAGAAAACTGGTTGATGAACCACCTCACCTAATTCCAACTGCTTTTGTTTAATTTGTTTCCCATCTTCTTGCACTTTTACTTCAAAATCAGGATCACATGAAAACACAGAAATATTTAAATCCTGCGGCTTGTCAAGCAAAAACGAATGCCTTCCCCAGAGCTGAAATACAACAGGAGATGTGCTTTTTCCATCCTTTTTAATATCAGGGATTGTAAGCTTTCCTGGAATATAGCTATGTCCACAAACTGTGAAAATAGCAGTGAAATTGGGATGGATGTATTTGGGGCCATAAATTCCAATTGAGATGGTTTTGTGAATGTAATCCCAAATGGTGGCAGGTGATGACTGAATAGCTTTAGGTTGTGCAGCAATCACTAGATACATCACCTTACTCAAGTCCACCAGCTTGACTTGGATGGTGTCTTTATAAACATAGCAGTTGTTTAATACTTTGAAAGGACCCTCTTTGACCAGGCTGTGTAAGCACACCATTTCTGTCATCACTTGACTGAAAGGATCCTTTCTTACTTCAGCCCCAATTTTCATTTCTAACAAAACAGCTTCCATTGTATTAAGGTTACTTAACATGATTTCCAACAGAGGGCTTACAGTGCATGAAAGATCATTATTAAGCATTTGTGGAGGATCAAGAAATGCCCTTAGAGATACCTCTTGGAATTCTCCCACAGCTACATGACCTTGGGGCACATGAACAGTGATGTCTGACTCAGGTAACTGTATGGACCCTCCTTGGTGGTTGAGTTTACAAACTGTGATTGTCTCTGCAACTTGTGTTTGGGCCCATCCAGGACTCTGATTCATTGTATTCAAATCCAAGCAGGAGCGAGCCAATTGGCGTTGACTTAACCAAGCCATTTTATAAGCCTCTCGATCATTTTGAAGCCATTCTAAGTCTTGTGCTAGGATTTGGTCACAGTCTTGCATACTCTGATGAGTACTCGTGGTGTCATTTAAAATGCCCAGAAGTTCTGAAACACTTTTGGATCTTCCTGATTTTCTTAAGGGAGACTTGCTGAGCAATTGATGCACATCAAGTTCATCATCAGAGGAATCAAAAGAATTTCCAGTTTCAATTTCTCTTAAAAAAAGAAAAGGATCTTCTTTCAAAATGGAGATATTCTCTTTCTTCTGGTTATTTCTTAGCTGAGTTATATCATCCAGAAATGGGTTAGAAGCAGATAGTTCCTTCCAGAATGGATTTGTAACTTTCAAAGCCTTGTCATCGTGAAGAGGGACAGCATCTGTACAATTGCAAAGCAAGCCTGGGTCTTGCCATTCTTGTTATTTAAATAAAAGTAAAACAAAACAAAAATAAGGTGGCAATTTGAGATACAACCAAGACTCATTATTCCCAATAGCTTAAAAATTCAAGATTTACTTTTCACTTTGCTTTTTGCTCTCTAGCCTAGTAGCTGCTACAAACTTAATGTAAAATTTGGTCAAATTCTCATGTAATAAGAATAGGGAAAATTTCTGCCAAATTATTTTGAGTAAAGGTAGAGTTATTTTATCTAAAGACATCATTGTACATAAACTAAACAAATATCAAACACTTCAGACAGTAATACATTTCCTTGAAAATGACTTACACTGGTATTCACTTCTGCCTTACTATTTTATGTTTCATCTTCCCAAAATGAACAAACTGAATTCAATTATCTAGATTAGATATTATTAGACCCTACACAGTAGGTCTAATTTTATAAAACAAGCCACTGTATTAGACAGGCAGCAAAAAATTCTTAGATTATTTTCTGAGAATGTTGTATTGATAAATTTTAATAACATTGAATTTCTGTGTGAGAGAGGAAGAAAGAAAGAACACTGAAAAAATAGACCATTGTTGGATAGTGCTTGAAGGAATTTGTTGAACTTTTGTGAACTTACAATGACATATTATTGCTTTAGAAACTGAGTGTTTTGAGAATTATAACACATGAAAATATTCATTTTCATAAAGAATTTCTATATATCCCACAATGTTGGAGACATTTTTTTTAAGGTTTAGAGTGAATCATACTTAGCCATTTCTAAGAAAATATTAGTAAAGAATCTGGGGACTTTGTGAAACTGGTGATACTTTGGAGAAAATGAAAGCCAAAATGGGCAATCAAATCATCCAAGTTTCTATAGGAAAAAAGAAAGAAAGAAAAGAATTCAAGTAAACTTCTTAACTTTTTGGTTTACTATTTGTAGAATGGTTATACATTAAAGTGTTACATATTAAAAATTAGAAAATAAAAGTAGTTTTTCTTCTATTTCTACACTGATTTTCAATCCAATGACTCCTAATTCTTAAAATTCATTTTTTTTTCTCTAGGTTCAATTCCATTGTTTTCTGTCCCAGGAAGTTTTCTTAAATCCCTCCATCTTCCAAAGATCTCTTTTATCCCAGATTCATTCTATTTGTTACATATACTACTCATTTTTTAATGCTTTTGCATTTTTATAAAATTTATTATAATCTGATTATAAGATGTACATTTTTGCATGTCTTCAATAATACTAGAACAATTCTGTGATAACAAGAGGATTTTATAATTCTTTTAATCTCCTGTAGCAGGAGGTAGAACTTCAGGACTTATTGGTGAATTTTAGAAGTACACATTCAGTAGCTATTGATGATGGATCTGATTTACTTACATGGAAAAATTACAATAGTCATACATTTCTGTACCTGTAATATTGCAATTTTTTGAGAGGTTTTCTCCTTCCATGTCAATCAAATTTCCTTCAGCTCTACTTTGTGCAGTTCCTCCTGACCAAAAATGGGCTATTTCACAGATTACCATTTTCCCACCTAAAAGTAAACAGATATGTGTTTTTTGTAAGCATCCATGTACACATTGGCAGAAGAAACAAATTTAAAATGGTGATAGATATTTAATAGACAACTGCATTTAAAAAATACTTTAAAGTAGAAGACTTACTTCTGGTAGGATAATGGACTAGATATGTATTATCATGCTGTTGAAAAATGCTCAGATTATGTACTATACCAACAAGGAAACCTGGAAATACATTACCAAGCCCATAAAAAAAATGACTAATGGAAACCCTAAGAACAACAAAAAAAGAATTGTAAGTTGAAATTTCAATAAATAGACCATCTTAATATAATGGTTGGAAGACTAAATATACAAACCTGAAAATCCTCTCCCAAATTCTTCTCTATATTCAATCCAATTACCAGAAAAATCACATTATTTGTGTACACATGTGTAAGATCTTTTTTTATTTTTTAAATTTTATTTTTAAATTAACAAATCAAGATCGTGTATATTTGTTGTATACAGCATGTTATTTTAAAGCATCTTGTTCTGAAACATTGCTGCATCTATAAACTCTTAAGCTTTGGAAATAATGTGTGTTATCTATCAGATATCAGAATTAATTTTAACTATTCTGTAAGACAACGTGGAGAGAGAACAGAAGTCGACTCAGGGCAAAGAATAAAGATTCCAAAAGCAGACCTGCACTCATAAGAAAGCTTGTTATCTGGCAGAGGCCATGCAAAGCGGTGTGGAAGTGATGGATTTCTAATTAAATGGTGATGATATAGTTGGTTGTACATGCTGAAAAGAAATTGCATCAATCACAACCTCATTTCACACACACACACACACACTTACTCACACACACAAATCATTTCCAAGAGTTTTAGATTTCAAAATGTGAAGAAAAAAAAAAAAAACACTTTAGAATTGGCAAAGTAGAGAATGCCTCCTGAAAAGTATTTATTAACCACAAACACATAACACGCACACACGCAAAGGCAATCACAAAATGAAAAAATAAGAAATCTTGTTCAGTCAAAAGATATTGTTTACGGAGAGGGGAGGAGAGGGAAGGGGAGGGCAGGGGGGATAGTAGAGGATGGGAAAGGCAGCAGAATACAACATACACTAGTATGGCAGTAGGTAAAAAAGTGGATGTGTAACCGATGTGAATCTACAATATGTACATAGGGTAAAAATGGGAGTTCATAATCCGCTTGAATCAAATGTATGAAATATGATATGTCAAGAACTTTGTAATGTTTTAAACAACTAATAAAAAAAAGATATTATTTACAAAAAGTAAAAACACAAGCCCAAAACTAGGAGAATTGACTTCCAAAGCACATGACTGATAAAGAATCACTTATTTGTATTCTAAAATAACAAAGACTCACAAAAATTAAAATTAAAACAACACTAAAGAAATTCCTTTAAAAAGATCTAAACAAGCATTTCTCAAAAAAGAAAACAAATGAAATATGTCCTATCTAATTGGTAATTAGATAAAGCAAAATAAAACCACATGAAACAAAATTAACACCTATCAAATTTACAAAACGTTTGAAGTCTGGCAACAACAATTATCAACAAAACTGCAAAGCAAAGAGAAATCCTATGCTCTCCTAGAAGAAGTACTAACAGGTACTTGGACTATAATCTGATATTACCTAGAAAAGATGTTTGCAAACTAGTACCCAGTAATTCTCTAGTCAAATTTTGTATATGTGCATAAAAAGAGATATTACAGTTGAATGTTCATTATATTATGTTACCAGGAAACTGTTTTTTCTTCTTCTTTTTCTTCTTCTTCTTCTTTTTCATACCAGGGATTGATTGAGGATGCTTAACCACTGAACCACATCCCACTGAGCCACAACCCCAGCCCCCCCAGCCATTTCACTTTTTTATTTTGAGATACAGTCTTGCTAAGTTGCTTAGGTCCTGAGTAAATTGTTGAGGTTGGCCTCAAACCTGCAATCCTCCTGCTTCAGCCTTCATAGTCACTGGGATTATAGGTGTTTACCATCACATCCAGCCTAAATCATGGTATTTTAATACAACGGAGTACTATTCAACAGATGAATCACAACTCAATGTACAAATACATGCTAGATACAGGATGCTCATTTGCTGAGACTCCACCTTCATCACATGTATGGTTTCCCTTAGTCCTGTGACAACATGCAGAACTACATATTTAGCATCTGATTTTCAGGTGGAAAAACAAGTCTCAGCTGCTCAGCATAACTAAGCCACCAGGTCAAATGACAAGTGAATGACCCAGAAAAAAATTACTTGACTTATTTACATTATAGCTACCACACCCAAGCCATAGGCCTAACCCAGACCCAGGTTCCCAATGGTACATTCCAAGAGCACCCCACCTGCCATTTCACATTTCCAAGGATGAGGAACACTCCTTTCCTCCCTTCTGTGCTAAGTTCTTCCTTAAACTCACCCCCCCCTTTTTTTTTGGTCATTCTTCTTTCAAATTCTTGACTTTCATATTAAACAAGTCTATTTGATTTTTTTAAAATGTAAAATATTTTTTGGTATATGAGAAAATAATATATTTTTCAAAATGAAAGAAAGGAGGAGAAGGGAGAAGAAGAGGAGAAAAAGAAAGGGTAAGGAAGGGGAAGAACATGTTTTGCAAACATGATGAATAAACAACAAAAAAAATTATCTCGTAAGGTTAGGCATGCTTAAAAACAAACAAGCAAACAAATGGTACAGTAATATTTTTTTTTTCCTGCTAGGGAAAACTACATCAAAAGCTTGAGTGAAAAATTGAATTATACAATATGCAAATTGCAATGAGACCTCAAGTTTCCTGGCAGCTCTTTAAAAATTCTGTGGCTGGTTTTCACCAGATACAATGTTCAAAATTTTGAGTATTTAGCACTACCATAGGTAGTCAAGACTTTAAGCAGGAAAACTGAGCTCAAATCCTTCAGCAAAATTTAGCAACTCAAATTAAGATGAAAGGGAAAAAAAGTTTAAATAGAAAAGTATTTTTAAATAGATAAAGTACATTTTAAATAGAAAACCAACTCTTTCATTTCTTGTGAAGAGCAAAAATGAACAATTTAGACCCAGTATTCCTTTGAAGCAGATAACTGTTGATGTAAAAAAAAAAAAATAGTCATAACCCAGGAAGAAAAGTTAGAAGTCCTCAACCACAGGAAAGCCAGGACGGGTGCCTGACACAGATGTACAGATGTGATCCTGAGTCATGATTACATTTCAGAAGCAAAGGCCCAAAGTAGTCATTGGCTGTAATTCCTTGTGGAGCTGCCTTTTCCTTCAGTCACCCAAGCAGATCTTAACTGTCCTCCAGAGCTGTTCTTCTAAACTTGTACCAGAAGCACCTGATGGATTTAATCAAACACAGCAGCTGGAACCACCCAGGGTTTCCTATCCAGAAAGTTTGAGGACGTATCTAAAAATCTGCATTTCTAATAAGGTTGTCAACTGATGCTAATGCTATGGATCTCAGGGGCACATGTTGAGAACCATGTTCTGAAAACATTTTGGGATTTTTTTTCCCCACTGGCTAACTATTTTCCCTATTTCCACTGTCCCCCAACAAATCCTCCAGCTCCTGATCTTTCTTTACACAGGCGCACGCGCACGTGCGCGGGAACACACACACACACACACACACACACACACACACACACAACCCATAGTACTAGATGCTAAATCTGGATTTTTTTTCATGTGAATACAGGGAGTATTGTCTATAGAAGCATGAGTCAGTCTTTTTTGGAATGAGTAAATGGGAAAAGAGAAGCCTGCTGTCCATTTAATCCAGGACACTTTCTTTTAGATGTGCCTTTGACTTATTCTGGTATTGTATGATGCATTATTTTTTTCCTCAAAAAGCTAATGAACAAAGTTTTGCCCATCATTTATTTTAGTATTAGAACTATGCCTTAAGCAACTGAGGAAATTCACCAAATATACAACTTAATAAATGTTCTGAGAAGGTATTTTTGAAGGGGGAAGTGGGTGGGAAAGGATATGGTATTTGGAAAGAATAAAGGGAAACTATCTTTTAAAAGAATCATTTATTTAAAATGTCTTCTTTAATGTGTTTGTAGTAGTCTTTATACAGTGAAAATTGTTATTGCTAGCCATAGGCAAGTTCATGGTACTTTTCAATTTGTCTTTGAGTACCTCAGACCTCTCTGATTGCCAGGGACCATACTTTTTTTTTTTTTTTAAACTCTTCATAGGATCTGAGCTGCATTTAACTCTTGATCTATGTGTTATGAAGTCATGACCATATTGGCTACAACTTTTGTAGGTGACAGCAGAGTCTAAAATGTCAAAAGAGCCATTGTTGGATCAATAGACTTCTCCTTCACCCCTCAAAACCAAACCTACCCAAATGCTACATTAACATGTAAAAGCAACTGACTAAAGAAAGACTGAATGGTCCAAAAAGGAATCAAAATCAGCAATAATATTCACCTGGTATAATCTGTTGGACATTACCATGGTGTGTGTCCTTACTGGATTACCCCAGGGCACCTTATAATGAGCTAGTGACACCATATGATTGATGATACATATACTCTAACACCAGTTATTAAGTAGTTTGAATATTTGTTACTCTAATCATTCTGACCAAATATTTCAAAGACCAGACAGTCTGGCAGGGCAAATTTCAGCACTCACTTTTCCCCAAGAAATAATAAAATGACTTTAGACAATTATCCAGGTAGGGCAGCAGGGATGATGCGTTAGGCAGTATTAATAATTCACAATAATTTCTATGATGGCTCTAACCCAGAGCTCAAAACACTTTATCAATACACCATCTTGTTAATGTTACCATGTCAAGATGCCTATCACTTCTTTATATTTTATTAACCTTCCATCATTAGCAGAACTAAAGTTCAGGAAAATTACAATCATTGTGTAGTGTAGTGTGACATTAATGAGCACAAATCAAGAACAGAGAAATGATAAGTCAGGAATTGCTGTATATCTAGCTTACTGATGT